GGAATCCGTAAACTAAGTTTCGTCTTCCTTATTTAGTTATTCATAAACTTAATATTACAACTTATAAAAAGTGTCAGGAGGTTTTTGAGGATATCATAGTAATCTCAATGTTTGAGATCATGAGTCGATTGAAGCTAGACCACCATGAACCACCGTCCAGTACTTCCAGGTTTTTTTATAGTGGTCTAGCTTCAATTGACTCATAATCACAACTATTGAAATTATAAAATGTGCATGAGCTCATTTAAGATCATCTATGAGCACTTCATGAATTCTAGCTTTGATTGATTAAATTTAAAATGTGATAAACAATACATGAAGTAATGCTACATTATATCATTCAAATAATCAACGAAGTCGTCTAAGTTAATTAATGCATTTTTTCAGTAGATTACATCATTCACCTATTTAAAAATATCCCAAATGTTTAGTTCTGGTAAAGTTTTATTCTTATTCTTCTGATATTTCATACTGTATACAATAATATTTTACCAAAAATATGATGAATATGTAACTGAGATAAGTCAATATTTTTTAGTAAACATAGATATTTTGATAGTTGAATTCATGAAATTAGACATTAACATCGTTAAATGCTAGCCCAGTGGTCTAGAGGTTAAGCATTCACACGTAAGACCGAAGGCCTTGGGTTTGATTCCCGCATGTGGAATCGTGGATGCTCACTGTTGAGAAGTATCACACTAGGACGAAACGATAGTCCAGTGCTTTCAGCTTTTCTAGCTTAAATTGATTCATCAACTTAACTATTAAGATTACTATAATTTCTACAAACCCCCCATACTAATAATAAACTTATATATTGTTATATTCCAGTTGTCTGATTAATAAAACATTACTTGTATAACAATCTTTATTATTTTACAAGTATTTTAGAAATTTCTCAAATGATAAATCCTGTTACATTAACCTACATTTACTTACTTCTACAAGAATTTAACTAGTCTTAGTACTTTTCTATTTGAATAAATGATTTTTGACATGATTCAATGAATCAAATTAGTTAAAATAAAATAAATGTTCATACGGATATTGGTCAATATTGAACAAGATTGTTGAACAGAACGTCAGAATTATTTAGATTTCAGTTACTGGAAGACTTTCATATATAAATTTCCTATATAAATTATGTGTTAGTCTAAATTTCTATTTTTTTGCATAAGTTATATTCACAGTAATCACAATGCAAAGAAACCCTATAACTTTAAACCAACATAGAATATATAAACAAAATATCTTAACTGAATCCTTAAACTAAGTTCTGTTCACGGCAACTAATCAAAATATTTGTTTTCGAAAAGAGTTAATTTTGATGAAATGAATAATTTATAGATTATTCGAAAAGATAAAGGAAATCACATGATTCTAGTAACCAATTATTTTTTAATCAAAACATTTTGCTTAGTAACACAACTTTGTATCTAATTAATTAATTAGTTTAAACCATGTAAATGACCCTATATATTATAAACAAACCACTTGGTTTAATGACTTATTGAACGATTTGTGTGATATGCTCATTTTTTCCCCCAAATATTCAGTTGTCTATAGTTTTTCTTTTAACGGTATTTCTTTTATTATTATTTTGAAGATATAAATTTAGATTTTCGTTTGCCTTGAAACATGTAAATTAGTTCTATCCTGGTTATTCATTTTCTAGGGACATTTTAATTTATACCAATTTATGAAATAGGGTTATTTGTTGTCATGCTTTAGATTTACAAAAATGCAAATGAATGTACATAATAGTTTATATACTTTGTAGGCTTGATTGTTTAGCTTTGGTAAACTATGGTAACATGGAAAAAATCTATCCTTGTTTCACTTGAAAGACTGCATGATTAGAAAGCTAAATTTGGATGTTATATAATCTAAATTGTTTAAGAAATTATGATGTTAGACTGATTCTACGAACAAGTGTTGTATATACACGAGTTTAGGCTTTAATAAATAAAATAATAATACCGTGGTAAACAGCATAGTAAGAAATGACAAGTGTGATTATAACTCCTACGAAAACTGTGATAGTATACCTTTTCAAAACACAATGATTTTATCTTGATATTTTTGCTAATAATATTTACTGGTTTTAGTGGAACTGACTTCTGATTGTTGTTACCTGAGAATATAATTATGTGGTAAGAAAAAATGTTTTTGTAATAATATTTTGGGTACCGAACGACTCCACTCAGTTAAATAATACAAATGATCTAGTTACTAGAATGTTAACTTGGTATTATTAAGATCCAAAATTCTTATTTTTCATGTCTAAACTTAGGTATCCATTATATTAGCTCATTAATATTGGTTGTTTGAATCTTCCGATTGATGTTTAGGACTATAATTAATCAGTTTATTTTGGCATATGTTCATTGAACAGCTTACATAAGTGAATTAAAATTCATCTGGTTATAAAAGCCAGTAACTAACTGAACTCAATAGCTAAATTGAGGACACGATGGCGTTTGAAGCTAATGATACTGAGTTTTGAGTCCCAAAATGAACGTCATCTCTGGGATGCAGTAAAAGTCTTCTGTGGAATCTCAAATAGGACAAACTGCTCACTCTGGATCTTACTACTATCCGCTGTCCATCTTTGTTTATCATCCATAAAATTATCTCACATAGACCGTTAATTCGTGAGGACGGCCCACGAGTGAACTCGAGAAAGCTCTAAGAAGCTCAGAATGATCAAAGATATTCCATTTAATCATCTTTTGGAAGAATGTTCCAGAATCTCTACATGTAGCTTCCTTTTTGGACAAATGCCCAAAACTCCTGTATATGGATCGGATGACTATAATCATGATTTTGTTTTTACTAAAAACTATAAATATCTGAGTGTTTTGTACCGAACTTGATACTATTTAGAATAGCATTTCTTTCACTTATCTTCTATCTTATCATATGCAACTTAGAGGGTTCTATCGTTCCAGTGTACAAATTGTACCCGATTTATTAAAAATCTAAGCTCTAGATATAAAATAATTTTAATTAAAAATATAATCCTTTATTCCATAGTTTAATGGTTAAGAATGGAAGATAACATATAGGAAGTATATTTTTAGTTGATAATCAATATTCAATCAATAAAAGTTCCCATAACATAAAACTTTTTTTCCAAAAAAGAAATAAATTTTAATTTAATTTCATAATTTAAAAAAAAGACTTGAAGTGAAAATAATTTAATTATTAATAATTTGATATTTTAGGGACATTAGCCTATATATATACGGATATATACGGATAAATGCGGATATATATGGATATAAATGGATATATATGGATAATAATCAAGTTGGTATTCTATTATGTTCTGAAAAATTACACATAAAACTAATTAACTATGACATTTTGATTAGATTATGTAAAACACTTAAATATACTAAGTCAAAAATAGATTATGGATAGATATGCAAAAAGATAAAATGATCTTAAGAGTTTTGCACTGATAATTTAGAAACAGTGAACTATGTATAGAAAGATTAAATATTGTTTTAATGTTGTTTTCTTTTTGAATGTAGGATCTAGTGCAATTAGGTAGTAAAAGCAAAATTCATTAAATTCATATTGTCACAATTACATGAACATGAAAGGATTTACAATGAGATTTATTAGTTTTTATTGTAGTTTATGAGATATTTATGAAATTTCTATGATCTCCATGTGCACAATTAATAAGAATAAAAAACATGGTGATAATTAAATCTTTCAAATTACACTTAGATGTATAGTAACTATTTTTTTTTGTTTTGTACACTTGACAATTTGTTCAATCATGTTTTATAATGATTTGAATCTTCTATTGATATTAAGGACTAAAATAGATGGTTTCCTTTTAGGTATACCTATTTAGGAGTCATCAACTGGACGTGTCTACATCTTAGTGCTTATGAACAACTCAAGACATAATACAGATACCTTTCGTCTAAAACATCCAGAGAGTTATTTGTCGAGATACTGAATCCAGATAGACATCAACTTGTGTATTCAATCATATCAATGATAAACATTATTTTCAAATTTTAATTTTATCCTTTATTCTTCATTGATCACTAATAGTGATTTATACAGATTATTGGCAAAGTTTTATTCTACATTGTATCGACGTAGTACCTGTTTATGTACATATAATCAATATATTTAAAGATAAACTGTAAAGAGTACATTAATATATGTATAATTTCATTATTTTTACTACCCTTTCACTCATTCCTAATTTTTCACACTTGAAGCTAATACTAAATTCAAATACTTCTACTTTTAATTCTAATCATTTGGGTAAAATCTGGTGCATGGATTTTATTTATATTCTACCTCAGTTTTGAGATGAACATATGGACTGATTGATCAGTTGGTGATATTGTTATATTTTGTAACCTAGTTTTTATAGAAGACTTTTGAATCAACAATTGTAATTCCTAAACTTAGTGTAATTTCTTTGATTTTATAGATTCAGTTAACTGTAAAGTATAAATTTATTTTATTAATTGAGTTCATGAGTAAATCTGGGCCAGACCACCATTGAAAACTCAGAAACACTGAAAGTCCGTTTCGTTGTACTATGGGACTCCTCAGCAATGATCATTCACAATCCTGTACTGGGGACTTGGACCCAGGATGAAACGGCGTCCAGTGCTTCCAGGTTTTCAATGATGGTCTATCTTAGATCGACTCATGAATTTAACTACTAAAATTACTCCAATCTCTACAAACATTCATTCTGATAATAAATTTATTTGATTGAAGCCAGTACCGATACAGTGATGACTTTTGTATAAATAAAGTTAGCCAAAAAAATGTACCTCTATTTACTTATTACACATTATGACCTTACAAGTGTACATAAGACGACCGCAATCACTATTATCATAATTTTTTGATGAAACTTTACAAAACATGAAATGTGAAAACGAAATACTTTTTTGAACAGATATGTTTGATTTTAAGTAAAACGGTAAGTTAAAATAATGCTTTCTTACCACTCCTAGAAGTTGTTGTTCCACTAAAGTTTTCATCTGCTTGACTTGGAGATTTACGCATACTTTGTGAATTCAACAGAATAGTTTCCATTAAGTTTTTTATAGTGTTATTACTTGTGCTATTCTGAACTTGTGATTGTTTTTGTTTTTCAAGCAGTAAATTTTGAATTTTAGGATCTTGAAGTTGTAACTGCATAAAATTACGATATAATGTATCATTAGTAGATAATGAACTTTGTGTTTCATTGTTATTTGTTGCATTTTCTAAGACAGGCGATTTCATATGTAATGCAATCTGAGCTAAACTTTTGGCAATCTCACCCAGTTCAGGATGTTGAGATTCAAGAAGTTGTAAGTCTGTTTCCATTTGCTTGGAAGTGTTATCCGGATTCTTGTTCATGAGTTAGTGTATTAATAATAAGTTTTATTAAGATATCAATATATATTTGCAATATCTAATCTCCAAAAGTATATGGCTGTTAATAAGTAAATAAACAACTTAATCCGACCTTTATTTTCGTTGAGGACATTAAGTGAATAAATTAAAATTAGCCAGTTACATGTAAGGTAATATAGCAACCTTGATTCTATATTTTGATTGGCTTTTAACAACGGAGTGATAGCAATTGGTTTATATGTAACATATTTTAATAAATAATAAACATCACGCATTTCATGAGGAATAATAATAATGAGATTTTGGTTATATATTGTGTAAAGTAATTGTCGGTGGGAATTATTTTAATGTAGTATGAATCAATACCTAATGGAGTGACGGCAAATCTGAGAAAAATAGAGCCAACATTATAAATACTCTTTTACTGAATAATAAAATAGAAAGTCATTTTACTAATTCAGTTATTTTCACATTATAGTTAGTTGTTAATCATATTTCAAACTGATAGAATGGCTGAATGACATGGTTTTGTAATGACATGATACGGTAGTTAACAACTCAACTAAACTCTAAATATCATAAAGATTCAAATTTCAACTAATCATCTTTGTTTCAATGTATATAAAAAGAAATGAACAAAGTTAAATCTCTCAAATTATCGTTCTTTGTTCGTTCTCTTAATATTTATAGTGTATTATTAGAAGACAATCAAAGTGGGAATTGTACACTGATGATGACATGATATTGTTATGGTTTTGTACTTCGTATTTGCTATTCAAAAATTATTTTTCCATATACTGCTTTATCAGAAACAAAGCCTATTATTTATCCGAATTTATAAAGAGTAGTTACTTTTCTGTTTTTATTAATTTCTATCAGAATGACTTAACCATCTTCAACTGATTAAGATGAGTTGGTGATAGCAAAGGGTATCTCTTAAGGAATAAAATAGACGTTAACAAAATTCGTAATGATCATATCATTTCTTCTCAACTTCACCACTTTTGTAGAAAATTAGTTGTACAATATATTCTGTGAATAATATTCGTCTATTTTTAAAGTTTAATAATAAGTTGGCTGGATGTGCTCTATTTTACTTATCATTGACTTACGTGAATAAAATTTAAGTACATTGATGTGGTCTCATATCACTTCATTTATACCACTTGGGATTATTCACTGAGGTTAGTCGTCCTAGGGGAGTTTCGAGTGTGGTTGGTTATCTTAAATCAATATATGTCACAGTTTGTTGTCTAAATACATTATTAAGTTGTTGAGTTTTTTCCTGAAAAGGAAAACAATTGATTTTCTAAGAATCCTTTATAATACTATTTACAAAAGCTAATCACTTGTAGATGTTTGAAGATAATGAATCATAGAGAATCGTAAGGTTTTCGTCAACGGCTAAAGGGGTTAATTAAATAAAAATGCATTTTGTTAATTAGTTTCATTTCCGCTTGCATTAATAGTTGTTATGATTTCATTATTTAAACCTGTGAATTATAGAGTTCAAAAATTAAAATTATGGTCGTCTTCATGATAGTCTATGAAAATTTTGAGTGATGACATACATCCATTTAATTTTGAAGTGAAAGTTAAATTCAGGTTACGACCAAAAAAGTTACATGTATTTCCATGTGCCATTTCTGTTTTTAGAGTATGGATTCCTGGCTGAACGTTAGCGGATGAGAACTGTTGAGGAGTCTTAGACGAAACAGACGTCTAGTGTTTCTAAGTTTTCGATGGTGGCTTAAAGTTTGTTGGTTAGTTGTTTAAATTATGAAAGAATGTTTCAGAATTGCTACCATTGTATAAACTAATAAAGAAGTATGTAAGAAGACTACTGTATTAAATCCTAAAACAATTTCCAGCTAAGTGGACGTAGTAACATGATTTTCACTGTTATTACACTTGTCAATCCATAAACTCGATAACCCCAATACACATTACATACCAGCTGTTGGTTTAATATATATCCACTAAGAGTTTTATGAGATTCACCACTAACTAGGTTGATAGAGCTAAAAAAAAGTGAATTGATAAATTCAGATATATTGCGTTTTAGGAAGATGGTTAACGAATGGGATGAGGAATTAAACATATTAAGCATTCTGAATTTCAGATTGAAGTAGTTTCTCAGTGAGGACATTATATATTTTTATAAAACTGGCTAAATTTGAAGTGCTTATATTTTTACAAGCCAACTGAGAAATTCAGTGGTATGTTTCTTGAAAAACCCATGTAACATTAATTCATTCATGTTTTTTCTAGTTGTGTAAACACAATTCTGAACAGTTCACAATTAGAATAAAACAGCTATTTAGTAAATTCAGGCTTTTAAGCATTTTCAAGATAATATCAATCTCCAACGTTAAACAAATTAACTAGTCTCAAACGTTTAACTTTATAATAAAATCAGTTATTTACAGGGTTGATAAGCTTATTTTCCAATAAGAGTTAAGTTTAGGTAACAAATGAAACTATGTTGTAGATCTACAAAACATCACATTTGAACTTTTATCCTTACCATTGTTTCTACAAATCGAATTAAGTTAATATTAATAAAAACTATTTTTCTTTTTAAAAAAATTGTAATTAGCTACAAATAACATCTACATATTTCCAAAGGTGTTATATCATGTTACAATTTGTCTGTTGAATGCTACTTGTTATATTTGGTCGTCGCTGATTGTTGCGTCGGAAACGCTTATCACATATACTCGAAACGAGGGACCTCGGCAATTCGTATGACACGAAAGTAAAAACACAAAGACTGATATAAATGATGATTTATTAACCCCAAAACACGACGACGATAACGACGACTCGAGTAGAAAATCCACTCATTTATATATTGATTGTACACACAATTAGATTATTAATTAAGATGAAATCACATATATGAAAAATACTCACTTATAACAAATCACATGCTGAGCATAGTTCATGTCAATGGAATACACGAATATCGCATATTATACAGAATAGAATATCATACGAGAAAAGAAAACAAATACTACATAGAGTAATCATTACATTGAATCAAAACGGAAGTAATCTGGAACAAAACTCATAATGAGTAAATCAATCAAATTTTGAATTATCTTCCCATCATCTCACCTCACCTTCTTTTTTTGAAGACTCAAGGTTTAGATCTTGACTTTATATTTTTCTGACTTTATCCCCCCTCCCCCACAAAATAATGTCGAATTTTCATATTCCCAAGTTACAGTTAGTGTGACTTTTTTAAGAACATATTTCCCGCATTGAATAGAGTCCACTAGAATTGACTAGATGGTGAGAATCAACGACGTTTGATATGAGACCATTAAGGTTTGATTCTTTTGAAACATTTTAGTCAAATTTCTTGAAAATCATACGGGGAAACAAAACCGAAAACTACACCGAATAATCATTACAGTGAATCAAAACGTAAGTAATACTGAGCAAAACTCATAAGGAGTAAATCAATCGGATTTTGACTTTTCTTTCCATCTTAGCATATCATAACAATAAATTAACGTTCATTATGTAACCAATGATGAATCGTCCTGTGCGTAACGAAACGCGCTTCCTGGATTCCACTGCTAACCACTATCCATCATTATTTACAAAAAGCTTGTGAATTAAGGCAATATCGAGGCATACGCACAGTATGCACATATGCTAATAACAGACTGATCAATTGCAGTCTTAAACCTCATTGGGAAGATACAAGCCAAACACAATACCAAGTGAATTTAAAGTTCATTATATAGATAATAGTTCTAGAAAGAAAATGATGTAATTTCTTGTGTTTAGTGTTTTATCAGTTTACTTTCTAATTTGAATAACAAATTTTTTTCTTTTTTTACATTCATTATTGAATGATGTAAAAATGTTTTTTTCTTTTTTCTTTTTGATCGTGGAATTTTATTCTATCGTAATTTTTTCTCTTTTTTAATGTTTCAATTCAATTCTTAATCACAACTGAACTGAATAGGGATTGTGTTGTTTTTTTTGTGGCTAATTAAAACAAGAATAACAGTATGATTATTATTATATAATCGACTTTTACTTTTTAATATAAAAGTTAATTAGCTTTTTTTTCTTTGTACTAATTTATGTTCATCGTCAATGAAGCAATGAGTAAATGTTAATTTTACAATTAGATTATTTAGGCAAAACGTCTTAAGGCTATGAAAAATTAATGAATTTTATACATTATGAATAGAACATCTTAAAAATAATGATTTGTAATTCTGTATTTCATGTATGTCAGATTCTTCTTAAGGCAGATTGAATTCTGTCAAACAAGTTGCTATATGACTAATAGTCTAGGTTGCTCAACATTACTCACACTCAGTTGAGATTTTAGATAGTGATTAGAGATAGCCAACCTAAAACGTTATACCTAGGTTTTATGGTACGTGCCATTGGTTAACACATGACATTGGACGCTACTTATCGGCCGATCAATCGTAATTACATATCAGTCCTACAAAAGGTTAGTTGCGGCCCGAATAACTCAATGGTAGAGTCTCTGACTGTGAAACTGCTAGGCACAGCATTGAATTCACCAGTATATCATCTCTCTTGAGATTACGGATGCATTCTGTTAATGAGTGATAAATAGCACGAAAAATATGTCCAGAATTTCCTGTCGACCACTTCCAACCACCATCTTATTTCTGTGATATACATTTTACTGATTTAAAAGTGTAAAGAAAACGACAGGGAACTGTTGAAGTACAGTATATTTGTCTTTAGCAGTAATATATTGGTTTTAATCAATTAAACTTACTTCGATGTGTAAATATGTATGTATTTTTGTTTGTAAATTTAAATATCAGTTTTCAATATTTAATAATATTATTGTTTAAAGCAATTAGTCCCTTTTAATAATGTAATAAGAAGACTATGTGTTCTCACCTATATGTTTTCACCTTAAACCGACCCTGATAATATTGGCTTATTATCCAGAGTGATTAGGTTTCCAATTGTGTTCACATTATTATTATTAACCTTGTCTCCTCTTACCCCATTTCCAGCCTAGTTGACCTTTTATTTTTAATGTATAAATGCTCTTACCAATTATATGTGTGATCAGATTGTCCGAAATGTATTGCGCTATTATATTACGTAGTTCTGGTAGTCTT